TTAGAATGGCCGGACTAACGTACCAAAGAATAGTCAGGAATAGCCGTGGTCAAGGGACACAGAAAGAGACACAGCGATAAGATTGGAAGTTAGCGAATGTTGTGCCCATTTACAAGAAAGGTAATAGGGAGGAGTCGGGCAACTATAGGCCAGTAAGCCTTACTTCAGTAGTGGGGAAAGTGATGGAAACCATCTAAAAACACATGGATTTCAAGATCAGAGACAACATGGGTTTACTTCAGGGAGATCATGCCAAACTAATCTTATTGATTTTTTTGATTGGGTAACTAAAATTATAGATCATGGTGGTGCAGTATACATTGCTTACCTAGATTTCAGTAAGGCTTTTGACACTGTTGCACATAGAAGGCTTATCAATAAACTGCAATCTTTAAGTTTGGATTCCAATATTGTTGAATGGGTAAGGCAGTGGCTGAGTGACAGGCAACCGACGGGTTGTAATTAATGGAATATATTCAAAGCTTGGACTTGTCACCAGTGGGGTACCTCAGGGATCTGTACTTGGACCCATTCTCTTTAATATTTTTATTAGTGATATTGCAGAAGGTCTTGATGGTAAGGTATGTCTTTTTGCTGATGATGCTAAGATATGTAACAGGGTTGATGTTCCAGGAGGGATAAGCCAAATGACAAATGATTTAGGTAAACTAGAAAAATGGTCAGCATTGTGGCAACTGACATTTAATGTGGATAAGTGCAAGATAATTCATCTTGGATATAAAAACCCAAGGGCAGAGTACAGAATATTTGATAGAGTCCTAACCTCAACATATGAGGAAAGAGATTTAGGGGTGATTATTTCTGATGACTTAAAGGTAGGCAGACTATGTAATAGAGCAGCAGGAAATGCTAGCAGAATGCTTGGTTGTATAGGGAGAGGTATTAGCAGTAGAAAGAGGGAAGTGCTCATGCCATTGTACAGAACACTGGTGAGACCTCACTTGGAGTATTGTACACAGTACTGGAGACCGTATCTTCAGAAGGATATTGATACCTTAGAGGGTTCAGAGAAGGGCTACTAAACTGGTTCATGGATTGCGGGATAAAACTTACCAGGAAAGGTTAAAGGATCTTAACATGTATAGCTTGGAGGAAAGACGAGACAGGGGATATGATAGAAACATTTAAATACATAAAGGGAATCAACACAGTAAAGGAGGAGACTATATTTAAAAGAAGAAAACTACCACAACAAGAGGACATAGTCTTAAATTAGAGGGACAAAGGTTTAAAAATAATATCAGGAAGTATTACTTTACTGAGAGGGTAGTGGATGCATGGAATAGCCTTCCAGCTGAAGTGGTAGAGGTTAACACAGTAAAGGAGTTTAAGCATGCGTGGGATAGGCATAAGGCTATCCTAACTATAAGGCTAGGGACTAATGAAAGTATTTAGAAAATTGGGCAGACTAGATGGGCCGAATGGTTCTTATCTGCCGTTGTTCTATCATTTCTCTATACCTCGTCAGATTTCTATACCGGAAGTGACGCGGCAGCACCGGAAGTGACGCGGCCGCACTGGTAATTTTGTTTAACAGCTGGAGGAGGAGGAGCGCATGCGCAGAAGATCAGGTAGGTAAAATTTACAGACCGTGAGGAGAGGAGGCCGCCTAATGCGCATGCGTGAACACAACACTGCGCCTGGAGACAAGAGGCGGGGGAGGTAGGGGCCAGTGCGCACGCGCGGCTAAGTACTCCCGTCGGGCACAGACAGCGGGATACACCGCGCGTGCGCACCAGCGGGCAGGGAGATCTATTCAGCCGAACATTCATCCGATCTCCCTGCCCCACACTGCGCACGCGCCTACCCAGCCAGGACAGCCACGGACACCGCGCATGCGCACTGAGGGGGTATAGAAATCTGATGGCCATATCTTGTGCTAAGAAATCTCCTACCCCTGAGTGCGCATGCGCGGTGTCTGATCCACTGCATCCAGACATCCATCAGGTAAGGTCTGTATTATTGTGGGGGTCGTCCATATTGGGGGTATCTGTCCAGTATTGGGGGTCTGTGCATTATTAGTCTGTCCAGTATTGGGGTATTCGTCCAGTATTGGGGGTCTGTGCATTATTGGGGGAGTCTCGCAGTATATGGGGGCTGTCTCTGTATATTGGGGGTCTCTTGCCCAGTATATTTAAGGGGTCTCGCAGTATATGAGGTCTGAGCAGTATATTGAGAGTCTCTTTGCCCAGTATATGGGAGAACTGTCTGTATAGGGGTCTACTTGAGGTATATAGGGAGTTAGCCTTAGTATATAGAGAGTCTACACAGTATATTGGGGGTCCTCTTGCCCAGTATATAGAAGTCTCATATATATAAGTCTCTTGGTATATTAGAGGGGTCTACGTGTAGTATATTGAAGTCTCGCAGTATTATATAGAGGAGCTGTCTGTATATAGGGGTTTACACACAGTATATGAGGTCCTACTTAGTATATTAGAGTCTACACTTAGTATATTGGAGGAGTCCTAGCAGTATAATGGAGAGTCTCACCCAGTATATGGGGGTCTGCGCTATATATGGGGGACTGCGCAGTATATTGGGGGTCTGCGCAGTATATGGGAGGCTGTCTGTATATGGGTGGGTCTGCGCAGTATATTGGAGGGTCTGCGCAGTATATGGGGGGTCTGCGCTATATATGGGGGTCTGCGCTATATATGGGGGTCTGCGCAGTATATGGGAGGCTGTCTGTATATGGGGGGGTCTGCGCTATATATGGGGGGGTCTGCGCTGTATATGGGGGGCTGCACAGTATATTGGGGGGATCTGTGAAGTATATTGGGGTGGCCTGTGTGTTAGATGTGGGGGCAGTGTGTTAGATGAAGGGGCTGTTCGTTACATGTGGGTGGGGCAGTGCGTTCGATGGGGCGCAACACACTACGTGCGACCTGTGTGTTAGATGTGTACAACCCTAGTTTCACAGAAAAATATTTATTTCATAGATATCATATGCCATGGCATGCTTTTTGCTATGAAACCGCAGCCATCTAGTCACTCGCCAGAGAAGGATGAGAAACTGCACCCCAGCGAGAGAAACTGCACCCCATCGGTCACCGGATTCAATAATCTCCGTCTCTTTGTGCATTGTGTATGTATGGTACTCCCGATTCTTATATTTAATCCGGTGTGTTTCCCACAATCTTTGTGTCTGTCTGCTGTATGTATGTGGCATGCAAGTCTGCATGCACTGCGTCTGTTATGCCAGTTACTCTAACCAGTTTATTTCTTTTTGTGTGTGTCACAGCTCTGACAAGCATGTTCTCATACGGGACACGAAGTACATGAAGAGGAATGAAGAAGCCCATGTTTGATGCTCGTCTCCAGGGTGGAGTATTTTGAATTTATAAGTAATGAAGTGGCATCTGACACATGGCAAGCTGCTCCTGTTTGCACAGCAACATTGTGTACTGTGACCACTGTCTAGTTCAGAGGTAGGTAACCTTGGGCAGTCCAGATGCTGTGAATTACATCTCCCATAATGCTGGCAAACCATTATGGGAGGTGTAGTCCAAAACATCTGGGATACCGAATGCGTATGAATGAAACGTATGGTGTGTGTGAATGGACAGTAACAAGGGTTGAAGCCTTGACGTGGCGTTACTGCTCACATGTGTATTCATGTGCCAATTCAACCAATGTGAGTCACTGTAATACTTATAAGGTAACCAAAAGTACTGTGATTGTGAAGAATGAAACGCCTGTATCACCTACACACTGTTTACACTGCGACCGTATCACCTATACACTGCTCATACTGTGACCCTATCACCTAAACACTGCTCACACTGTGACCGTATCTCCTAAACACTGCTCAAAACTGTGAATGTTATTTTTTTCAAGTTAGTTTTAGTGTTTGCGGTTTCATTGATTTGTTAACCACTGTCCTCAATCTTCTGTTCTGTGTTTTCTTACATTTGTGGGAAGAACAAGGTGATCCTCTCAATTTTACACTCCTCTACTGATGGTTCCAGTGCCAGAGACAAACCCACCTCCATTAACCTCGACCTGCTCAAACAGAAGAGATTACCTTCTTCTATAGAAAACCTCCATATGGCTGTTTCGGAACACATGCTGCAGACATGATGTAACCTTCATCTTCCAGTGATTGAGAATCGTGGACCGTCCAGGGAAAGAGACCATTATATTATTAAGATTCTGCCTTCCTAATGCCATACAGCCTTTCTTTACATGTGATTGAACTTTCTCCTTCTTGGATACCACAGTGTAATTTTTCTTAACCAGTTTCCAAATTTGACTTTTATATTTTTTCCACTATACATATAAAGTCTAAAATGCATATTAACTTTGAAGAAATAAAGTATTTTGCCGACACCTTAACATGCAAGTTGTGTTACTTAGCTACAAATACCATCACTAGCTGCGTTCCATTGTAGTTTCTCAGAAACTGCAATATGTAACATTGCAAGATTAAGGGGACATTGGCACTGCACCCAAACCATTTAAACGAGATGACGTGGGCTTTTAAAGAGCAACTTCTTACTATGCTTATTGCTATCTTTTGAAACTCATCACATTTATAAGCAAAACTATGCATAGGCACAGTGACAAGAGGACCTATATGCACCATAAATTATCATATAGTGTTACAAAGCCATATTTCGTAACAGTCCTGGATTGTTTGGTAGAGTCCCAGTTTGGATTTGCTCTCAACTGTCCCACAATAATTAACAGGTTAACGTTATTACAGACAAATTACTGTACATTTAAAAATTAAGAGTTTAAATCTTTTTAAAAGTGGCAATATAAAAAAGTCAAACAATTTAATTTCTAATTTAACAAAATTGAAAAAGTATGTTGTCCATTAATTATATAATAATTGCACATGTGGCCGAATATCAGATATTGTTATTGTCACCCCTCTCTTACTATGTCATGCCCCTGTCACCCTCCTCTCACCCTGTCAGCCCTCCACACCCTGTCAGCCCTCCCTTACTGTCACCTCACCACCCCTTGTCACCCCCCTCTTAAGGTCACCTCACCATCACCCTTTCACTCTGTCATCCTCCTCACACTATGTCACCCACCCTCACTGTCACTCACCCTTACTCTGTCACCCATACTCTCACATTACGTCACCCCCCCTCTTACTCTGTCATTCCTCGCTCACCTCATCACCCTCCCTCTCACACTATGTCACCACTCTCCGCACTCTGCCACCTCCCTCCATATACACTGTCAACCCTCAACACGCTGGCACCCTCCTGCTCTTTTACACTCACCCTGCCACATTTATCCCTTTACTCACCCTGTCACCCCCCCCCCAAGGCAATCATTATACACACCGTCATAAAACATAGCTTCGCCATAAACTCAGTGCCAAAGGCAAGTCAGTACACAGACATACACATGCTCAGAGAAACATACATACAGATACAAGGATACTCACTTTCCGATACACACACTCAGGCAGACAATGCAACGATGTATACAGAGACTAGCTCTGTGTATCCAGTGCTGCAAGCTCCACCAGGGACGTTTTAGCCTTGGGCAGGATTTTCCAGGGGGCGGCAAAAAAAGATGCCCCCAAATGCCCAGGGCAAATGCCAGACAGCTCAGAGGAAGTGCTCCCTTGCCAGCTGCCCTCCCGCCCCCCAGCAACCAGCCCAGCAGCCCCACTAGACCCCAGGGAGATAGAGAACCCCCCCAGCATTACCAGTAAGGAGTCTGGGGGAGGGGGGTAAATAAAAAAATGAAAAGTGTTAATGTGAGTGAGTGTGTGTGTATGTATGTCTGTTAGTGAGTGTGTGTCTGTTAGCTAATGTATGCGTATCTGTCAGTGAATGTGTGTGTGTGTGGCGGGGGAGGGGGGCGCCTGAGTTTTGTCCTGCCTAGGGCAGCACAAAACCAGGATACACCACTGAGCTCCACCATCAATATATCTACAGCTTCTTATACACAAAGTCAACTGCTATTTTTTTCTTCAATAATGGTGTTCTCCGTGGCGTCTCATGTATGCATTTCGCCTAAGGCCTCGCCAAGTCTAGAGCCGACACTGCAGTACAGCCCTTCAGTATCCAATAGTCTCTTATACAGGGACTCCTCAAAGCGGTTTGCTCCTTCCCTCTGGAACTGTAAAAATAAAAAATATAGTTACAACCCACCAAATCGTAACCAGAAAGCATATTACTTATTTTATATTATTAGAAATTACAATTTCAATGTTGAAGATTGGAGGCATAGAATAGAAAGAATGATCGAGCGCTTTCAATTTTAAATAAAAGCATGTCTGTGCTTACAGTGTAAGCAGTGTTTAGGTGATAGGGTCACAGTATGAGCAGTGTATAGGTGATACGGTCACAGTGTAAGCAGTGTATAGGAGATACGGGCACAGTGTAAACAGTGTGTAGGTGATACAGGAGTTTCATTCTTCACAATCACAGTACTTTTGGTTACCTTATAAGTATTACAGTGACTAACATTGGTTGAATTGGCACATGAATACACATGTGAGCAGTAACGCCATGTCAAGGCTTCAACCCTTGTTACTATCCATTCGCACACACCATACGTTTCATTCATACGCATTCGGTATCCCAGATGTTTTGGACTACACCACCCATAATGGTTTGCCAGCATTATGGGAGATGTAATTCACAGCATCTGGACTGCCCAAGGTTACCTACCTCTGAACTAGACAGTGGTCACAGTACACAATGTTGCTGTGCAAACAGGAGCAGCTTGCCATGTGTCAGATGCCACTTCATTACTTATAAATTCAAAATACTCCACCCTGGAGACGAGCATCAAACATGGGCTTCTTCATTCCTCTTCATGTACTTCGTGTCCCGTAGGAGAACATGCTTGTCAGAGCTGTGACACACACAAAAAGAAATAAACTGGTTAGAGTAACTGGCATAACAGACGCAGTGCATGCAGACTTGCGTGCCACATACATACAGCAGACAGACACAAAGATTGTGGGAGACACACCGGATTAAATATAAGAATCGGGAGTACCATACATACACAATGCACAAAGAGACGGAGATTATTGAATCCGGTGACTGACGGATTTGGTTGCAGATGAGGGGCAGTCCCTCTCGCTGGGGTGCAGTTTCTCATCCTTCTCTGGCGAGTGACTAGATGGCTGCGGTTTCATAGCAAAAGCATGCCATGGCATATGATATCTATGAAATAAATATTTTTCTGTGAAACTAGGGTTGTACACATCTAACACACAGGTCGCACGTAGTGTGTTGCGCCCCATCGAACGCACTGCCCCACCCACATGTAACGAACAGCCCCTTCATCTAACACACTGCCCCCACATCTAACACACAGGCCACCCCAATATACTTCACAGACCCCCCCATATACAGCGCAGACCCCCATATATAGCGCAGACCCTCCAATATACTGCGCAGACCCCCCAATATACAGACAGCCCCATATACTCGAGACCCCATATAGAGATCCATATACTGCAGACCCCCAATATACTCAATGGGACCCCCACAATGCACAGACCCCCAATACTACTAATGCACAGACCCCCACAATAAGGCACTGACCCCCTCAATAAGGCACAGACCCCCCCAATACTGCACAGTCCCCCCTGATGGCTGAGAGTGTTGGGAGCAAGGCTTACCTGATGGATGTCTGGATGCAGTGGATCAGACACAGCGCATGCGCACTCAGGGGTAGGAGATTTCTTAGCAGAAGATATGGCCATCAGATTTCTATACCCCCTCAGTGCGCATGCGCGGTGTCCGTGGCTGTCCTGGCTGGGTAGGCGCGTGCGCAGTGTGGGGCAGGGAGATCGGATGAATGTTCGGCTGAATAGATCTCCCTGCCTGTTGGTGCACACGCCCCCGGTGTATCCCGCTGTCTGTGCCCGACGGGAGTACTTAGCCGCGCGTGCGTACTGGCCCCTACCTCCCCCACCTCTTGTCTCCAGGCGCAGTGTTGTGTTCGCGCATGCGCATTAGGCGGCCTCCTCTCCTCACGGTCTGTAAATTTTACCTACCTGATCTTCTGCACATGCGCGGCGCTGCGCTCCTCCTCCTCCAGCTGTTAAACGAAATTACTGGTGTGGCCGCGTCACTTCCGGTATAGAAATCTGACGAGGTATAGAGAAATGATAGAACACCGTCACATTCTATGTTTCTATAAGGAAAAGCCAGGGGTCAGGGATGCCAGAAAACAGGAAAGTCAAAATCAATGCCAAAGTCAAATTACCAGAATAACCAGAATCAATAACGCGCTCTCAGACAACCACAAGGGAAACCATGACAGGGCACTGAGCAAGGAGAACTGGGCCTAAATACCCCGCCTGTGGATCCGATTGGTTGTAACCGGCCTTTGACCCCAAAGGCAGTTACCAGGTTCCTATTTGCATGATTGCTGCTCAGCACAAACCCTCCTGTGGATTGATTGCTGCTCGGCACAACTTTTCCTGTCAGGACAGTAATTTTGCTTGGCACAACTTCTACTGTCAAAACAGTAAATGCCATTAATCACATTTTTATGTGCGGATGAATACGTGACAGCTTCGAGCCCTCCAATAAGTGCCTCCATTCCTAAAAAGTTAACATAATAGCTAGAAGTTCCCTGTTCCCTACATCATAATTCCGTTCGGAATCAGATAATTTTTTAGAATCGAAACAACACGGATGAAGAGGTATGTCTGGTGTAGCTCTCTGAAACAGTATGGCATCCAGCGAGGGAAGCGCACAGACTGAGCTCCGCAGGACGGGAAAAGGCTTATATAGCTTCCCCCACCCTGAAATTTGACTCAGAGCACTCTGATTGGTTGGTTTAAGCCAAATTTTGAGTCTTGCAAGTAACCAAACAGGTAAGGTTTGAGATTTTCCTGTAAGAGCACTCTGTTCCTGTCAGAGACAATGTAACCAATGTAGTTGGTTGAGAGAATAAGCAGGACAGGAAAGCACACAAAACGTTTAACACCAAACAACCACATTACACAGTGGGCATAGGGTGACTTAACCCCTTAAGGACCAAACTTCTGGAATAAAAGGGAATCATGACATGTCACACATGTCATGTGTCCTTAAGGGGTTAAACATAGGATCCGGCTTATAAGGAAATCTAACATGAAAGCAACACTACAGGATCAGGAACACAAACATGCATTCCTAACCCTATAGTGTTTAACCCACCATTTCGGTGGCTTGCCCCCCTTAGCAAAGGTGAAAACTCACCTTATTTCCAGCGCCGCGCGGGTCTGATGAAGCTGGCAACGCCCCCGATCCACCTCCATGGTGACATATTCAGAGTTGTCAATTTTTAGACAATCCAAAGCTTTCCCATAGGGAAAGCATTGGATTGGCTGAAATCGACAAGGAGGCGGGACCAAACACCATTTTAGCCAAACAGCACCTCCTGAATTAATGCATCTCTATGAGGAAAACTTAGCGTCCCCATGCTTACTGTGCAGCCCTGAGCCAGGAAGCCTCTCCAGTGGCCATCTGAGGAGTGGCCACTTGGAGGTGTCCCTAGGGGGAAATGTAAACACTGCTTTTTCTTTGAAAAGGCAGTGTTTGCATGAAAATCAAATAATAGTTTTAGTTTTAATAATAAAAGGCAATAATTCTACTCACCAGAACAACTACATTAAGCTGTAGTTGTTCTGGTGATAATGGTGTCCCTTTAAAAAATTATGCTAGCAAGAAATGGGCTCGGACGGGAATGGGAAAAAAAAATTACCACTGCTTGCATGCATCGAGCGCCAGTGTGGGCTGGCAAAAATAAAAAGCATTAAATATTAAAAATAGCAGGAAATATAACTGGAGACAGAAACAGAATTTACATTTAATAAATACAAGGAGTATTGTTGTTTTGAAGTAAAACCAGGGCCAGCGCTACCTGTTAGGCAGACTAGGCAAGCGCCTAGGGCGCCCCTTGGGAAAGGGCGCCGCCAGGAGCTCCTGCCCCCCTCATGCTGCAGCCGCCCGAGCGCTCTGTAGAGAGCCATAGGCGGTTGCAGCTTTGCCCGGGCTGGTGCGTCCATGAGGGCACACCGCCCGGGCGCAGCATGAGGAGAGGGGCTGACAGGAGGGAAGAGCTCAGCGCTCCCTCCTGTCACTCCCTCACTGTAGCGTGGCCGAGCTGTGTATGGTCCGCGGGTACAGGGAGCATCTGTCTCCTGTACCCGGCCGGACTAACACTGAGTGTGCACTTCCTTTTAGTCCGGCTGGGTACAGGAAACAAAAGCTCCCTGTACCCGCGGACCATACAGGGCTCGGCCACGCTACAACAGAGGTAGGGGAGGGGGGAGAAAGAAATTGACGGGGGGAGAAATAAATTGATAGGGGAGAAAGACATTGGCAGGGAGGGAGGGAGAAAGACATTGACGGGGAGAAAGAAATTGATGGGGGGGAGAAAGACATTGACAGGGAGGGGAATTGACAGGGGAGAGGAAGAAATTGACATGGGGGTGAGAGTGACAGGGAATGAGAGTGGGGAGAGGAGGGGAGAAGAGAGTGACAAGGGGGAGAAGAGAGTGACAAGGGAGTGGGGAAGAAGAGAGTGACATGGGAGGGGGGGAGAAGAGAGTGACATGGGAGGGGGGAGAAGAGAGTGACAAGGGAGGGAGAGGGGGGAGAAGAGAGTGACAAGGGAGGGTGGAGAGATTGACATCCATCACACACACACACACACACAATGCACCCCTTGCACACAGAAAAACACACAATGCATTACACACACACACAAGCAATGCAACCCTTACACACACTGCATCCCGTACATACACAGAAACACACCTTGCAGCCCTTACACATACAAACACAGATTCACACAATGCACATCAGGACATCCCCTACGCTCTCCACCCCCTGTGAACAAACTCATTGGTGGAACATGAAGGTGGACCCTGGGACCCAGACCTTGAGCTGTGTAAAGGGCCCCCCAAAAATGGAGCTGCTTCCCGTTCTCCCAGAACATTGATTTTTGTGTCCACAGTTACAAACAGCCTCCAGAGATCCTGTTCTACACCAGACCAGTGAAGCCAGACTGCAGCTAGAGCCCATCATAATCCTCATCTGGTTGTAAGTAGGCAATCTAGTATATTATTCATGGCACTAATCTCTAATTTACCTCACATTAAAGAAACACTATAGTCCCCAGAACCACTGCAGCTTAATGTAGTGGTTCTGGTGTCTATAGCCTGTCTCTGCAGGTTTTTTAATGTAAACACAGCGGCACTGCAGCACTGGTGTTAGTTAACATGGCAGATCATATGGGTGGGGCATTGTGATGTCAACTTTACTTTTGCCTAGGGCGGCAAAAATCCTTGCACCGGCCCTGAGTAAAACACATTGGTAAAATAGGCTAAATTAAACCCTAATGGATTTTTAAGAATTTTTCCAGTGCAGTTATTTTGGTCTAAAATTTTAAATTCACTTTAAATTCCAGAAATTCTCAGATAAATAAACCCTGATTAATTCTTGAGTAACCTCACAATTCAATTAATAAGCCTAGCAGTCGGTGAATAACCCTTGGCGAATCTTGCATTTCTTGCCAATCAATGCCATAACAATGCGATTAGCATTACATATTATTATTGCCATTTATATAGCGCCAACAGATTCCGTAGCGCTTTACAATATTACGAGAGGGGGGGATTTAACTATAAATAGGACAATTACATATAACAGTGTGATTTTACTTTTTATTCAGCATAAAAAAGAAAAAGAAAAAAAGACCCCTGTCTGCATGCCCTTTTAATAAATAATACACGGATAATGTCACTTTTCAACATTCTCAGTCACCACCAAACAACAAAGTACAAATGTGCCCACAATCGGCGTTTGATTATTGCTGCCTCCCTATTGAAATCAATGTTATAACGTACTGTGCAGGCTCGCTGCGCTCGGTGCTCCGCTGATCGTGTCTGGTTCCCTCTCGCGCTGTGCGCGCACATCCTGCTGTCTACTTGACAGCTTCCCCTTCTGAGCTCGGCTAATCGCGTCTGCCTCGAGTGCTCTGAGTTCGGCTAATCTGGTCTGGCTGTTACTGTGCAGAGCTGTGATGTCGGTGGCGGCGCGGTTGCGGGCCGGTATGGCCAGCTCGGTAGGTGACCGTGTCCCGCAGGGTGGGTGTAGGTGGAGGGTGGGTGTTTGGTGTAAAGTCCTGGCTCTCCTGACCTGTGTGTAGAGCTGGGCCGCAGCCTGAGAGCACTGAGAGCACAGGGTGTCAGTGAGCAGCCGGAGGACACACAAGGACAGAGCCACACACACACACAGGGCATTATATAGCCTGCCATTCACACTGACAGTGAAATGGCTCCTCATTGTCATTCTACAGCCTGATAAATACACTGAGGAAAAAATATTTATATCATTATAGAAAATCTGCCATGGAAACTGATTTAAAAAAAAAATAAAAAATATATATATTTTATTTTATTATAATTCCAGTAACTCATACCTTTTATAAAGGACACAATTAAATATTTAGAAAAATCTTTCAACACTGGGTAATTACTGGAGACATGTGTATTTAAAAAAAAAAAAAAAATTATGTTGTAGGTGCACTTTAATTTTGTGGTTGCAGTCTGCATAGTTATTATTTTTGGAATAATCAGCTGGAATAGCCATGACAATAACAACCCAAGTTATTGATAGCATGTTTTTCTAATGAGATTTTAAAGCAGAGGCATCACTAGGCACTAGCTATGGATTGTGCTTTTGTTTTGTTGTTTGTTTGCTTTTATCTCCTCAATTTTATATTAATGCATGGAAGGGTTTTATTGGCACAGCAAGTCCTGTATGTTAACTTTACCAATGGGCACATACAGCACAACTGAAGGAATGCCAGCATGCACATGCTCTTCTACAGCATTTACCTTCGATTTTTGGGGGTCCTGGAGCACCATGGGGCAGTGTTGTCATATTAGAATGGAGAATTGTCATTTACTGGGAGATTGCTTTTCAGACTGTGGCTCGTGTTCGATGTTCTCTTGCAAATAACGTATGAAGGAAGCTCTAGTTCTAAAAAGAATATGCATTGTTAGTTTTAATGTATATAATTGTTGATGTGACATAATTTCCCAACAGAGTGGTTTGTGGGCTTGTTTCCCCTCTGATCTGCACATTGAGAGTCAGAAACCAGAACCAATTTATGTTTTTACTTTACCCTGAAGAGAGGAAATGCCTCAGAGCAGTGTAATCCACCCAGCCATAGGCATCAAGTCAAAGGCCCTTGATATTTCAACCAATAATTTACGTTTCATATTTCTGTGTGCACACAATTATTTTCTTCAGCGCCGCTGTGCATTTTTGTGAAAAAAAGTAATTAAATGTAACTTCCAGCGTAGATACCGACTCCACACGTCAGCTTAAACCTCATTTGTTGACATCATCAAGTCTGATGACTTTGATCCGTTTGATCTCTGTGATTCATAAATCCAGTGTTTCTTATACTTTCAGCATGATGATGATGGACATCAAAATGATTCAATAATTTAATTACTTCTAGGCTAGGACATGACTCTTTTGAAAGCCACTAGTAGGCATGGAAACTGCAAAATGTAAGCAGAGATGTCTCTCAGAAATTAAGGCTTTCATTTGCAAGGTTACATTAAGTGATTTTCGTACTTGGACTCTGACTTTAAGTTTTTTCTGAAAATATGAATTGCACAGGCTGCTAAAATCCACTCTTTTTGTGTTCCAGATCAGGCGATACTTACACAATACATCAAGATGCAGTGGCGCTGGAGGAGCCTCTTTTGTGGTGAGTTTATCATACTCTATTTATTTGAAAAGCCAATATAAAATATAGGAACCGTTTTCTGTCCCATAAATCACACCACATGATTTTTATGCCAGCATTTGTCATCATCATGCTGTGTGTGTATATACTCCAAATGTGAAAATCTAAGGTTTTAAAGGACCACTCCGCACCCCAAAAGAAGTGCTTTATGGGTGAGGAGTATCCTAGTTTAACCCCAGTTTATTAAAGTGGTGTTTTTATGAGAAATCAGCACTTTTATAAATTAATTAACTCACCCCTGGCTGTCAGTCAAACAGCTAGGGAGGTTTGCAGCCTTATTCCGATACCTCCCCTGAGCTAACGGAATTGGCAGGCACACTCTTCTACTTGAATGTGCCTGCCTCCTTCAGAGACCTCAGACCAGACGTGTGCATGTGGACACCAAGTCAGAGGCTTCTCAATGAGAAGCCTTTGGTTATTTCCTGGTTTTTCCTGTTTACCTATTTTTCTTGGGGAAAAACTTGCTAAAGAAGAAAAATCACTGGAGGTATATCTAGTAAGTGTTTTTTTTCTACTATGTGGGCAGCGGAGTGCTCCTTTAAGGAAGAAGTGCCTCTAGATGCTTTTTTGGCCAAATGTAAAAGACAGTGCTTCACATTGTCCAAGATTTGTGCATCAAAGCCACTATATTAAAATATAGTGGTTCTGGTGCTTGGAGTATTCATTTAAAATGGACACTCCAGACCCCCTAAAGCACTTTAGCTTGCTGAAAAACGTTGTGTGAAGTGTGTGTCCTTTTTTTTTTTTTTTTTCTTTTTGTCCCCCATCATTTTGGAAAACGTGTAGATTTTAATAGAAATAAATACTTTTATAAATTATACTGGTTACATCCTTTAAAAATGCTTTATCTTTAATTGAGCCTGTTACCTCACTCTGAAGGCTGAAAAAAGCAGGTACAGTTTCCCACAAGTTTACCTGCATCATCTTTCCTATGCTTTCCACACCTACTCCAGGGGGTACACTGATCTAACCAATCAGTGTCCTATCCCTAGGAATGTTCTAAAAGTGCATTGAGTATGCCTGACCGATTTGCACATGTGCCGGTGGAAGGGTTCTTCACCTTGCAACATCCTGTTAGAGGGGGTAGAAAAGGAGTCTGATCGTTATGATCATGCAGAGTAGACTCCGGTGTTGGTTTCTTTCTCTTGCTGCTGCACAATGATGCTGTCTTTCTGTAATTGGTGGACTGGTCTGAAACTGAGATGGGAAAGCTGCAAAAAATTCCATAGCTGAGAGGCGTGCTCAATAATGCAATCTAATTAAGTTTATAGTAAATTTATAAACATTTATTATATACTTTTCAAAACATTTCCTTGGTTTATTTTAGTTTCAGTGTTTGCTTGCTGGTTTAAAATAATAATTGTCAAGTGATGCATGTCCCTTTAACCAAGGTGTTCATGCTTTGCATAAAATCACGTAGTACAGCAGTGCTACTTTAATGAGAGAGCAGTTGTTATGGTGTGCCATTGTATTAAAACGTTGACACTGCAATCAGTTTTGTATGTCGGTTTTCAATTTGGTGTTTAGTGAATAACCCTTAATTTTTTTTGTTATGTAAAAATTGTATGCTATGCGCTGGCTCGTTATGAATAAACCATAAAATATTTAGTCTATACTTTGAGCAAAATTGTAGATCATATGGGGATTTTGTGTTAAGCCATCTGCACAGTGATATGGAATTTAGGTGTGTGTCATTGAGATGTATGTGCACCCTTCAGTGCTTAGCCATAGTCCTCGCAAGCTCAGCATTCTGGGATTGATCTGTGTAGATACAACTCCTCTCACTGGAGGGAGATACAGAACACTGATTAATGATATAGTATTATGTAATGAAACTTCAGTAGAAATGACTCCTAAACAACGTCTGATTATAATAACATTGACACAGGTGCCAAATGAAGGAGGGCTGCAGTAATGACTTCATGTCTATGTAGGGAAAAAGGACTAAAATAAAAATTGCATCTCCTATGATTTCTTAGATAAAGGAAATCAAGGTATACAACACATTAAAATGAGCCCAGTGTTTATCACAGTACTGTTTAGCTCTTCTGGATGCAAAG